GTTGAGGGGTGACCTTACTGAGGTTTATAAAATCATGAGGGGCATAGAGAAGGTGAATGACAAGGGTCTTTTCCCCAGAGTGGAGGAGTTCTAAACTAGGGGGCAAATTTTTAATGTGAGAGGAGAAAGATTTAAAAGGGACAGCAGGGACAACCTCTTAAAAAAAAAGTGTGGCTGATGTGTGAAATGAACTGCCAGAGAAAGTGATGGATGCAGATACAGTTACAACACTTAAGAGACACTGTGTTCCTCCAGCTTCACACTGGATAATTTTATGACTAGGAAAGGTTTGGAGGAATATGGGCCAAAAGGAGGCAGGTGGGACTAGTTCAGTGTGGACTGGTTAGACTGAAAGTCTGCTTCTGAGCTGCATGGCTCTATGACTCTACATCTTCAGACAATGGGCTGTGCTTATTGCGCGAGTTACCAGAAGAAAGGGAGGGTTTGGTCACTGGCTTTTCGTGGAGATACTCCGTGGGATGGAGGATGGGAGGACACCAGGCTGGCCATCCCAAGCTGCTGCAGGAGGCAGTGACCAGAGCCAGGCTGGCATCATTCCTCAACGTGGGAGTGGGACATCTCCCCTTCAACCAGGAGATCCAGTGCCACATCCCAAGATCTGCGTGACCTATCCTTCAGTTCCCCAAGGCATCGTGCATGTCGTTGACTCTCTGCTGCAGCACCCCACGCTGTCTGAATTCAAGCAGATGTGTGAAATCTACACATATGGCTCCAAACTAACGGTATCCATTCCACACTTGTGTGCTAAACCTACAGGTTTAGTATCTCCAGACAAATTATAATAAGCAATCAGGCAGCACAGTGGCTCAGTGGTTAGCACTATTGCCTCACAGCGCTAGGGACCCGGGTTCAATTCCAGCCTTGGTTGACTGTCTGTGTGGAGTTTGCACATTCTCCCTGTGTCTGTGCGAGTTTCCTCCCACAGTCCAAAGATGTGCAGTTAGGTGGATCGGTCATGGGAAATTGCCCATAGTGTCTAAGGATATGCAGGCTAGATGGATTAGCCATGGGAAATGCAGTGTGATAGGGTAGATCTGGGTGGGATGGACTTGATGGGCCAAATAGACTGTAGGCATCCTGTGATCAGGACCAAAATTGCCTGTTTAAATCAGGACTTTCCAACAGGCCAGCTGACTGAATTCATTTCATTCCTTTTGATCAAACTGAGGAGCATTTTCTATCCACCATCCTCCCCAACCCACACAGAGGGTGGGGAGTCTTGGGAATCCTCTTCCTTAAAAGGCAGTGGAAGCAGAGACTTTGAATGTTTTTAAGGCTGAGGGAGATAAATCCTTGATCAGTAAGGAGGATGAAAGCTGATTGGGGTGGGGGGGGCACGGTGACAACGAGGTGGCGTCATCAGATCAGCAATGACCTTAGTTCTTAGGGCTAAAGGGATTAAAGGATACGGGGCAAAAGCAGTAACTGGGGAGTGAGTTGGATGATCAGCCATGATATTATTGAATGGCAGAGGAGGCTCAAAGGGCCGAATGGCCTACTCCGGCTCCGGTTTTGTGTTTTTTTTTAAATGGACGGCCAGGCTGGATGGGCCAAGTGGCCTTCTCTTGTTCCTATGCCATGTGCACTCCCAAGACTAAGGTCAAAATACAGTAAGCAAAGGATCAATCTGGGACATGACTCAATGGTCAAGGGGCAAAGACTCAAAACAGCGAGAGGTAAGTGTAAAGGCTCACTAGGAGGCGTAGGAAATGTCTGGGGCGTGCATCATTGGAGGCAGACACATCGGAATCATCTGGGAATTGATTACATGTTGAGCTGGGGAAATGGAAGCAGGGTGGAGGGTCTTTCTGGATGGCGGAAAGGGAGACAGGCTCAACAGTGTCCAAGCACCCACTCCCCCCAAATAGTCTCAGGAACACCATCACTCACCTTGTCCACACTCTCAGCACCTTTGACCACCTCGCCAGCTGTTCTGTTGTTCAGATTCCTCCTCTCCACCCACACTATTTCTCGGGCAGCTTGATCTTCATTGAAGACACTTTTCCCAGCGTTAATCACCCTTTTGCAACAAGGAAAGAAATTATCGCAAGTTGTTAATGTGGCTGTGGCAGGCCCTCTCCTGAACAAAGGCAGATCCCACTAGTCCAGGAAAGTGCATATGGGGGAAAAGTGCGTTCTGGGACATGATTTAACAGCGACGTGGAGATCCTGGTGTTAGACTAGGGTGGTCAAAGTCAGAAGTTACATGGCACCAGGTTATATTCCAACAGATCACAATCACCTGACGAAGGGGCCACGCTCCAAAAGCTTGTGATTTCAAATAAAACCGTTGGACTATAACCTGGTGTTGTGTGATTTCTGACTATGATTTAATTGAGTGACGGAAAAGGCAGGGTGGGGAAGTGGGGGAAGCAATGGTCTAGTGTGACTATCAATAGACTACTAACCCAGAAACTCTGCTCATCTTCTGGGGACTCGGGTTCAAATCTTGCCACAGCAGATGGTGGAATTTGAACTCAATCAACAAAAACAAACTGGAATTAAGAATCCACTAATGACCATGTTAGCACTGTTCTACTGTCAGAAAAAAAACCATCTGGCTCACTAACACCCTTCAGTGAGTCCAGGCCTGCAGCAACGTGGTTGACTCTCAATTGCCCTCTGGAATGTCCTAACAAGCTACTCAGTTGTATCAGTCAATACAAGGTGTCAACAGAGAGGTGAAAACAGACAGACCACCTGGCATTGAGGACTGCAGCAGCTCAGGGAGGCAGCTCACCACCCCCTTCTCAAGGGCTAGGGACAGGCAGAAAATGCTGGTCCCACGATTGAATAAAAAAGGCTTGAGGGGCTGAATGGCCTCCAAGTGCCCCTGCGTATTTTGTGACATCATCCTGCAAGGTTCATCTTTACCCCTCCATCCTTACTCCTCCATCTTTACAGCCAAGCCACCACTTCTGTCCATGGGGTAGGGAAGAATATAGCAGCAAGCTAACCACTACCCCTGCTACAATAAAGCGTACACTCCAAAAAGGACTTTGTAAGCTGTGAAAGGCTGCCTGAGGTTGTGAACGGTGCTATATAAATGCACCTCCTTTTCTTCCAATGCGGAGTTAGTTACTTGCTCATAGTAAACAGCACAAGGGGGTTCCACAAGCTGCAGTCCTGCAGATCGCTAACATGATCCCAGGTGTCACACAAGCAAAGCAAACATGTCCTGCTGATGGATTTTTTTGCACAGCTATCTGGAGGAGGTGCTTATTCAGATGGTATCCAGGTTAAAATTAGCAACAGCCTTGTAAAATCTAACAACCATTTCCTGTTGTTACAGCGAGTCCTGATTCACTGTAAAAGCTTCAATATTCCAGCCTTGACACCAAGAATGAGAAGTAAAATAAACCACCTCTGAATCATAGGCTCTTCCAGCATAAAGGGCCATTTGGCCCAGAGTGCTTGTGCTAGCCCTTTTAATCCAATTAGCCCAGTCCCTCCACTCTTTCATCCTTTTCGAGTATCTGTTCATTGCCATTGGGGTCAGTTAGCTCAATTGGTTGAAAGGCTGGTTTGCAATACAGTGTGACCCCAACAGTGTGGGTTCAATTCCTGCACAGAATGAGGTTACCATGAAAGTACCACCTTCTCAACTTGCTCCTGACCTGAGGCATAAGAAATAGGAACAGCCATTTGGCCCCTTAAGCCTGCTCCATCATTCAATAGGATCATGACTGATCAGACATTCCTCACATCCATTTTCCTGCCCTTTCTCCATAACCCTTGATTCCCCGACTAATCAGGAATCTATCTGTCGCAGCCCTAAACATACTCTGCCCCACAGCACTCTGGAGCAAGGAGTTCCAAAGAATCTCAACACTCAGGGAAGAAATTCCTCCTCATCCCAGTCTTAAACTGAAATGCCTTTATTCTGAGATTATACGCTCTGGTCCTAGAGTCTCCCATGAGGGGAAGCATCCTGTGGGTGGTGACCCTCAGGTTAAACCATCACCAGTCATCTCTCTCTAATGGCAGAGTGAGACTATGGTGGACTTTACCTTTTTATTCATTTCCGTTTGGAAAGTTTTTACTGACTCCACTCTCTCTGCACGCCTGTACAATGCTGTCCAGACTGTCACACTTCACGCTGTAAGAAAATGGCTCATTTCCACCGCTGGATCTTTTGCAAATTATCCCAAACATCTCCACTCGTTACCAATAGTAGAAGCAATTCCTAACTGTCAACTCTATCGAGTCTATCATCAGCAAATCCCCGTACTGCATCGAGACCCAGCCCAGATACTTGTGCTCATACCTCTGGAGTGGGCCTGGTAATCACAATCTTCTATGTCAGACCCAAGACTGAAATAGCAACAAAAAAGAAAGAGAAAAGCAAAAGTAGAGACTGAGGGTGAAAAATGGTGGTGGAACGCAGCAGAAAGAAAGGTAGGAAACAAGATAAATGGAAAAAGAGGAAAACAGACAGGCTAAATGGAAAGAAACAAAGGTAAGGGAAATAAAACACATACAGCAGCAATATGTCCAGTGAATATTGTAATCATGAAGCACGTTGACAAAGCTAAACAAACGAAATGGGTTGTGACCATTTAGTCTTTTCTAGTTCCTCTCTTTCCAAGCAGACAGCCTCATCACTTGACTTTTTGGCACATGATTTCAGAGCCCAATGATGTTCAAATTTGACATTAACTGCAGAATCTGGCAATGAGCCCTTAATGAAAGCTGTGATGTTAAAAAGAAATAACTTACATGATAGAGCAGGGTAAACAATCAGTAACCTTTCTCTCCTTACAGAATGCTACATGGCAGTGGGATGAACAAGGAACCTGAGAAAGTGAGAGACACACACAACCTAGCACTAAGAGTAATTAACAAACTAATTAATTAATTGAGCTGGAATAATGAGGCCATTATCAATTGCTTTTCTACACTGTCTCATGCAAAGAAATGAAATTTCTTCAATAAAGGGAACCAGAAATCTTAGACTGCGTTCAACACGTCAAGGGTCTGAGGGTCTACAAAAAAAAAACTGCAGTTTCTGTTATTTTTGTATGAAGAACATTTTTAAATTGCTACTGAGGGGGAAAAGGTTACCTTTAAATACCTAATTTATCATTGCTTCAGTCTAATTTCAAATAAATAGAACTTATTTTAGAATCCCTACAGTGTGGAAAAAGGTCATTCAACCCATCAAGCCCACACCAACCCTCTGAAGAGCATCCCAGACAGATTCATCCCCCTCTCCTATAACCCCACATTTCCCATGGCCAATCCACCTAACCTGCACATCTTCAGACTGTGGGAGGAAACCCACGCAGACACGGGGAGAACGTGCAAACTCCACACAGACAGTCGCCCGAGGGTGGAATCAAATCCATGTCCCTAGCACTGTGAGACTGCAGTGCTAACCACTGAGCCACTGTGCGTCCTTACTGATTAGATTTTAGCAATGTGTTATATGTTTAGTTGTTGTGGTGCTTTCCGCCAGTTTGGAAAGATTCTAAGTATTTATTTTTACTGTTCTTTGTCTTCATTTCATTTAGGCTATACGATCCCAGAGTATAGAAAGGTTATTTTTCGTGGTAACATTACAACAACTTGCAATTATATAGCGTCTTTAAGGTAGGTGAAGCATCTTGGGATGGCTGCAAAAATGGAATAAAAAGTAACCAATGACAAAGGATGAAATATTAGGAGGTGATTAAAGACTGGTCTGGAATGGTTGGTTAAATCCTTCTAACTCCATGCATCTTTGAGGATTGGTTAGCTTAGTTAGATGAACGGGCTGGTTTGTGATGCAGAGTGATGCCAACAGAATGGGTTTAATTCCCACACCGGCTGAGGTTACCATGGAAAGAAACAAAGGTAAGGGAAATAAAACACATACAGCAGCAATATGTCCAGTGAATATTGTAATCATGAAGCACGTTGACAAAGCCAAACAAAGGAAATGGGTTGTGACCATTTAGTCTTTTCTAGTTCCTCTCTTTCCAAGCAGACAGCCTCATCACTTGACTTTTTGGCACATGATTTCAGAGCCCAATGATGTTCAAATTTGACATTTACTGCAGAATCTACCTTTCAATCTCGCTCCTAGCCTGAGGCGTGGTGACCCTCAGGTTAAACTACCACCAGTCATGTCTCAGTGATGAGAAAGCAGCCCTATGGTCTGGTAGGACTATAATGACTTTATATTATGAGGGGCTTAGGCAAGGTGGATAGAAAGCAGCTGTGTCATTTTAAAGTGAAAGGTAGGAGGTTTAGAGGGGATTTGAGGAAACGCTTTTCACTCAGAGGGTGGAGGAGGCAGGAATGTACTACCTGGGAAGACAGCTGAGGCAGGAAACCTCCCAACCTTTTTAAAAATAAAGTACTTAGATGAGCCACTTGAAATGTCATAACATTCGAAGCTATGGGCTAAGTGCTGAAAAGTGGGGCTAGTGTAGATTCAGAGTAATTCTGACGACAGGTCACTGGACTCAACATGTTAACTCTGCTTTCTTCCCACAGATGCTGCCAGATCTGCTGAGTTTCTCCAGCAATTTGTTTTCGTTTCAGTTCTCCAGCATCCACAGTTCTTTGATAACAAGGTGTAGAGCTGGATGAACACAGTAGGCCCAGCAGCATCAGAGGAGCAGGAAGGCTGACGTTTAGGCCTAGACCCTTTTTCAGAAGGGTCTAGGCCCGAAACGTCAGCCTTCCTGCTCCTCTGATGCTGCTGGGCCTACTGTGTTCATCCAGCTCTACACCTTGTTATCTCAGATTCTCCAGCATCTGCAGTTCCTACTATCTCCACAGTTCTTTGTTTTATTTTCGATTTACCGTTGTTGTCAGTGCAATCTCAATGGGCTGGAGGAGCTCACCTATAACGAATGATTCTATCACCCTCTTCAGTGAATATGAAAAATTCCGTGACACTATTGTGAACAGCCACAAGGGTGTTATCCTGGTGTGTTGGCCAATATTTATTCTTCAACTGACATCAATAGACCCAGCATCTGGTCATTTTCACATTGCTGCTGGTGAGAGCTTCCTGGGTGCAAGTTGGATTCTGCTTTTCCTCCATCACAACTGCGACATGTCAAAAAAAAAATTGACCAACAACTCTTTCAGATATCCTGAGATCACGAAAGTGCTACCAAAATGTAGGTCTTCCTTTCATGTGGCTATGAGGGGGTTAATATTGATTCAGTGCCATAAGCACCGCCCAGTGTGATGACATCACAAGGACAGGTTTGGGAAGAGTAAGGAAGGATCTTGAAGGAGCCAGACCTAAGACCAGGTCCTCCAAACTGTCTGTATAAGAATGTGTTCTCCAACCTAGGGACAATGGAGGTTCAATCATGGAGTATGATTAAGACAGAGATTGATAGACTTATTATTTATAAGGAGATACATGGATACAGCAGGAATATAGTGTTGCGGTAGACAATCAATTGAGATAATAGTATGGCAGTGCAGGTTTGAGGGGCTGAATGGCCACCTCCTATGCTTAGGTTCATATATCTTTGAAAGATATGAACTAGGTATAGGCCATTCAGCCCCTTTAGCATGCTCCACCATCCAATACGATCACAGCTATTCCATCTTGGCTTCAATTCCACTTTCCTGACTGCTCCCCATAACCCTTCAACAAGTTACTATTAAAAATCTGGTGTCTCGCCTCTGTAAATTTACTCAATCCCCTATTCCACAGATTCATGACCCTTTGAGAGAAGCAATTCCTCATTACCTCTGTTTAACTCTGTCACCCCTTATCCTAAAGCTATGACCTTTCCTTCTGTGTATAAGCAGTTGGAGACGAACAATAAATTACATCTTTACTAATACAAGAGGCTTTTCTAATTAGACTAGAAAGTGGTTATCCCCATCCACACCAGGTTACTGGAGAAACACAGCAGAAAGCCTTAGTGGCAGCACATCCAATATTCAGAAGGATCACTGGCCGATTTACTTGCTCGACCCAGAGGAAATCACCCAGGGAACCAAAAGACAGCAAGCAACACCTACTCCCTATGCAAATTAAAGCGTGTGACCTGCTTTAACCGAAAGCAACATAAAGAAATGGAAAACGAAGCATGTTCTGAAATTGGAAACTGAAACACAGAAGATTAAAAATAGGAAAACGGGGAAGTTCTCAGTCCCCTGATTTTGTGTTTTTCTCTATTCTGGATTCTGCCATTATAAAGCACAACTTGTACAAGGGCTGATCAGAGGTCAGTCAGGATTGGAGTCAGCAGGATTGTGATTGAAATAAATCAAAGAGATTCAGAATCCTCTCAGCGCAAATGTATTTTCACATCTCCTTTGAAAGGACAGAGGGAACCATCCTCCAAACCTCCCCCTTTTCATCAACATCAGCTTACCTAACCCTCAGATGCCTATACTGGGCAGCAGCGATGCGGTAGTAAATGTCACTGGGCTAGTAATCCCAAAGCTCATGCTAACGTCTGGGAACAAAACCAGAAACTGATCGAGGAAACACGGCAGGTCTGGCAGCATGCATGCTGAGTTTCTCCAGCAATTTCTGCTTTTATTTCAGATTTCCAGTACCTGCAGCACTTTTTGTTTAATGTTCTGGAAATATGGGTTCAAATCCTGCCAAGACAGATGGTGAAATCTGAATTCATTTTTTT